GTTTGGTGTTGTTCTTATATTCTGTATTGCCATTACCTTGGGGGCTACACCTCTGTGGACTGCAGTTGAGAGACGTGTGTAAACATCTCCCGTCGGATGGATGAAGGCTGGTTTGTCTCATCACACACAGTCGCAGTCTCCTGACTGCACTGTGGCCACTGTCCCTTCATTCTCCTGCATGCCCCTAGTTGTGTGCCTCCTCACCACACATGCACAATCAGTGCCCGTCATCCCAGAGCTCCCCTCTGACCTCTTGTCCTTCCCTTTGCACCTTAGCCTGTACCTGCGCCAGCACCAGAAAGCACATATCTACATACCATAATACAGCATGGCTCTTCTGAAACCCTCTTTTTTAAAAAGTTTTTTAAGAAGCTGTCAGTGAACCTTTTATTTATTTATATGTGGTGCTGAGAATTGAACCCAGTGCCTTACTCATGCCAGGCAAGCGCTCTGCCACTGAGCCCCAGCCCCAGCCCTTCTGAAACCCTCTTGCAGCTCTGCTTCTTACGGATTGCGCTGCCCCCATTCTGAGGCTTGCACAAACACATATCCAGTTTGGCTTCTTATCTCCGTCTAGCTGCAGCTCCACTGCTCCCTAGGGTCACCCTCCTGCCATATGCCCTCAGTACCCAGGTGCACCCTCGCCAGGGCCTGTGAGCCAGTAGTTGAGTTGTGTTTATCTCCCTCCCTTGGCTTTTCTGGTCTTACTTCCTGGGGTTTCTGTCTCAAATTGCAGCCCACCTACAGTCGCCTCAGTGTGCACATGACCATGCTATTTCAGTTGGGCTGGCCTGTCCCTCTGAAATGGAGGGATACTGCTGCATGTAGTAAAGGCTTAGCCCTCTCAAGTGCCCCCACTTCAGGGAAGCCTTGTGCTTGATTATGTTGACCATTGACACTTTGTCAGAGCCCTGAGAGCATCCCAGACCTAAGGACTCTCTATAATTTGGATGGTTGGGCTGGGGGTGCCCTGCCTGCCAAACCCCTTCATGTGGCCCCATGTGTGCCCAACTTGGAATGAAGGGACCCCCGGGTACATTCTCTGCCACTCCCTCCATCAGTATTGCAGGGTCCCCACCAGGAGAGCCTTCAGCTTGGCTGGAGAGCTCCATGTGGCAAGAATAAGGAGATGGTGATTAATCTGGACTCCTCTGCACCTTGGTCTGCTCTGTCCACTTGCACAGTTTGGCTTCTTACCTCCGTCTAGATTTGTTCCTCTGCATTTGTAGAAAATTAGTCCCAGGACCCACAGATACCAAATCCACACGTGCCTGTGTCACTTGAGCAGCACAGCTCAGCATTTGCATAGAATCTGCTTACAGCCTCGCATACACTTTACGTGTCTCAGGGTTACTTATGGCACAAGTGCAGCATAGACACCATGTGGATAGTTAGTTGTTACACGGTATTGCTTAGAGGAAGAAAGGCTGTCTGTGCCCAGTATAAAGATAGTGTCTCTTCTGAATATTTTTCACCTATGGTCATGAGCTGTGGGTTCAGGACTGGCAGGCACAGAGTCCTGGCTAAATACCACCTTCTGTGGGCCCGAGCCCCTGCTGCTATTCCTTAACCTTTCTCCCTGCTGCCAGCTTGGAGGTACTGCTGTCTCCCACCTCTTCCCCATGCCATGGTCCGTGAGCTTCTCTGCTCCCCTTTCTTTCCTGTTCATCCACCTCTGCTTCCCATATTGTATTTGCTTTTAAGAACAGCTCTCCCCAAAATCTTTCTATTATCACCCCAGTTTTTATTTCAGCCTTTGATCCACAAAGGATTTTTCTTATTTCTGCCAAACTTGTTTCTTGTTTCAGGTGTTTCTTGGTTTGCAGAAGCTTGTCTTTTAGCAGACTTCTCACAAAGCCCATGACCATGGCATTGGCATTGCTTATGATTTTGAATATCTATAGCTCTGGCTTTGAAGGCCTGTCTGACTGAGAGGAGGCCCTGCGGCCATGCTGTCTTCAGGGATTTGTGAAGGCATGGCCCCTCTGGCCTGTGGAGTCGGAGTCCTTGCCTAAGCCGAGTGCGCTGCTCCTCTGCCTGCACTCCGTGCTAGAGAACCCTCTCTCTGTCTCACTGGTCTCCGTGCCTGTCTGGAGGCCACCACCATGGGCCACTTTGCACAGGTGTGGGATAAACCTTCTCACTGTGAGTCTTTTCCCCTAAGACTTTGGTAAGAGTTGATGTAAGTGTTGGCTCTCCTTCACGGCTTTCACTTCTTGCCTGGTGCTCTGTACTGACCACTTCTCTTTGATGGCTGCTACCTGCTCTGCCTCATTTTCTCTGGATGGCTTCCAGTGCTCCCTGTACAGTCAATTGAACGGTTCCCCTTTGGGCCCTATAACAGTCTTTATTTACAGGCCTTGTCCGTTTCTTCAGTTCTGCTTAGATTTTGTTTAGCAGCTCCCACTTTTGTCTGCCTTAGCGCTCCATTTGCATTTTACAGTGTTGTAGGTCTTTGCTCTAGTGATCTCACATCTGCTTCTGCCTCCGTCCTGGAATGCTGATTGGCGTTCCCCACCTTGCCGTGGGGTTCTGTCATTGCTGATGGGGTTCACTTTGAGGCAATCCTGTGCCACAAAGGATTTTCTGTGCCTATTTTCTCTCTTTTAAAAGCACACAGTTTCCTGCACCAGCTGTAGCAGGGAAGGGTGGGTTGAGGGATGAGGCTTGGGCTTACTTGTTCTTTTCTTTTCTTTCTTTCTTTCTTTCTTTCTTTCTTTCTTTCTTAATACTTAGTTTTTAGTTGTAGTTGGACACAATACCTTTATTTTGTTCATTTGTTTTTATGTGGTGCTGAGAATTGAACCCAGGGCTTTGCACATGCCAGGCGAGTGCTCTGCTGCTGAACAACAACCCCATCCCTCACTGGTTCTTTTCTAGGAGCACCCTTTTTCTGCTGGTCAGCAAATGCAGTATTTACATCGTTTTAGAACTGTATTTTGGAGATGGGATTTAATCAGTGTGCCTTCTGATGCCTCAGTGCTCCTTTGTTTTGTGGGAAGCTCAAGTCCGTTCTTCCTGAACCCTTCTCTTTTCCACCCCAGCTCCCACTTCTCTTCCTGCTCTGAAGCACTTGTCCCAAGACCGTCACCTCAGTGTCACACCCTTCTGTGCCCTTCCTGTGGATTTCCTGCAGTCGGTGTGTTGACCCCTGAGGTCAACTGCTCCATTTTTGTGCTTCTGGGTGGAACCTCACTTCTTGGGGTGTGGATCAGTGTGTTCTGCTGCTGTGACCTGGCAGGGCTTGCTCCTTTCCACTGTGGTTTTGCCATTGGCAGAGCACACAGGGACCTGGCCGTTTAACTCTGGGGTCTTCCAGATACAGAATTGGTGTGTCCTTTCTCTTGCCTCATATTTTATTGACAAGTGAATTCTCAGTTCTTCTGGTGAGAAAACCATCCTGGCTACAGAATTCTGAGGCCATTGGACAAGGGACGGAAGGCCCCCTGTGCAGCCTGTTGCTACACTCACCCCAGCTTTTGACACTTCTTCATCTCTAAAACGTTCATTGTCGTGAGTTCGGGGCCTGAGTGTGCCACCTGAGAGAAGGGGCCTCCAGGCCCTCCGCTAGTGACAGAGAGGGCCAAGGACTGCAAGTCCTGAGGCTCCCCAGCCAGGCTCCCTTGGTGCTCCTGCTCATGCAGACCAGTGGTGGTCCCCGGGCCTCTCCTCGTGGGCTCGGGTCCCAGCTTCCTTTGTCGTCCCACCTGCTCACTGCTGGTTCACCCTCTCCCGGCTGCCAGTCTGTTGGCCACCCGGTTGTTCTCCTCTCCCAGCTGCTGAGCTCCTGAGGTGTGTGCCTCTTTGTCGGGATCGTTTCCCTGTTCTCTGTAGGGAGGAGACGCACGCCTGTTAAATCTGAGACTTTTAACAGGAGGTATCTTGCATTGTTTTCTCTTTTTTCCTTAACTTTTGAGTATTACCTTGTGTGTTTTTTTTTTTAATTTTTTAATTGAGATGTAGTTCATGTGCCATAAGTCCACTCTCTTAAAGTGTGCATCAGTGGCTTTGGTATGTCCCACACGCGGAGCTCAGGGCCCAGCTCTACAGCTGTGGTCTCCCACCCTCTAGCCAGTGGCACTCCCAGCCCTCTGCTGCACCAGTGCGGCAGCCTTCCCTGGTGAGGGAGGAGGGAGAGGGGTTTTCCTTCAGCCTCATCCCTCATGGGATCTTCTTGCATTGGGGTTTTTTTGTTTGTTTTCTGCACTTGAAAGCTCCTGCTGTGGTGGGATGTGACATACTAGGGAAACCACTTCAGGGAGAACCATTGATGGCTGCCATGTGGCTCACAAGAAAGGCCCTGTCGTTCAGCATGGGCTCTGATTACCACTGCTCACAGTTCCAGGTGCTGGACACTGTAGTCAGTGTGCCTTTAGGATGCCCACGGCAGTGGTCTGTGGGGACCATAAGTATGCGCCTGTGGAGCAGATGACCAAATGCAGCAAGGAGGATGCTGTTCTGAAGTGAGTGCTTGTGGCTGGGAATCCAGTTTCCAGTGTTGGCAGCAAACCTGAATTCTAAAAGCACAAAAGTCAAAGTATAAACTGAGTTGACAATGAGACGCTGTGCAGAAGCACTAGGTTGTGCCGAGGGTGACTCCCGAGGGCAGAGTTGCAGGCTGGGGTTGGAGAGATTGAAGGGAATTATCTCACTGGCTGTGAAAGTGGGACGCAGCGATGTACTTAAATTAATTTTCATTTACTAACTGTCATTTCAAAGTCAGGGTGTACACAAGTAGAACATTTATATGATCTGTCAAAATATTTCTCCTGGGTCACCCACTGTGAGGTGGACGCCACCCAGTACAGCACTGCTACTTGGGCTACACCAGGCAGCATTCTTGGGGCCAGCTCTGCTGACACACGTCTCCTCGCACAGGTCTCGGACTCGAATGCTTCAGAGATGGGCACTGCTGTGTCGAATGCAAGAAATGATTACCAAAGCCTGTCCTAAGGACAGGACCAGGCACTGGAGCTCACGTGCTCCTGTTTGTCTTTCAGGTAGGCGGGCACTGACAAGCCAGCCCTCTGCAGATTCCCCGTTCTGGAGATGATGCTCTGAGCCCAGTGCACCTGGCATTCACATCTATGGACCTGCTCTGAACCGTAGAGCCTGCCTATGGGGGAAGGTGAGTTGCTGTGAAGTCCCCTCTGTGTGCTTGCTCATCAGGGACGTGGGCCACGGAGCCAAGTTCACCCCTGAGGAATGCAGCTGCTGGAAGTGGCACAGTCCCGCATCCTTCCCTGCTTTGGTTCTTGATGGGCCCTGAGGTTCTGCTGTGTAGGACTTTGGGGGAAGGGTCCCTCGTTCCAGCATCCATGGGCTGGTTGTGGTTGCACACCCTCACGTCCCAGTCTGCCCATGGCCACTTACCCAGAGTTGCCCTGGGAAGCTGGAGAAGTAGGAGGGAAGCCCGGAATGTTGAGCAGAAGACTGTTCTGGGTGCTGAGGCCCCTGGGGGGTGTCTGAGATTGGGTCCTTAGAGCCCAGGGCAGGGCAGCATTAGGAGGGGTACTTTTATGCCACCTGATGCCACCCTGTGGCTGTGGTCCCTGTGGCTTTCCCAAGCCTGGTGTAGGAAAGGGCAGAAATCAATGAAATGGGGGACGCAGAAAGAAAGAAAATGGCAGAGCTAAATGCTGGTGTTCTCTTAAGGAGTAGTTAGCCCTCTGATAAGAGGGTTCAAGAAAATGGAGGGGTGATACTGATAAGAATCAAAGGCACAAAAATAAGGAATGACAACTGAGAAGAAGGCTTGCAGTACTGTGATGGCCACACGTCAGCACAACTGAACACTTGAAAGAAACGGATGACTTCCCAGGAAAGTTACAGTGCCAAAATAGACTTGAGAAGAAAGAGAGAACTTGAGTGGGCCAGTACACATTTAAATTATTATCAAAGACTTGCCTTTTACAAAAGGCCTCACTCGTGTGTGTCACAGATAGTTGTACCCAGCTTTAAGGACCTCTAAGGCTTCTAACTCACATAGGCCATCCCAGAAAGCAGAGAAGGAGAGCCCCCAGCACTCAGACCAATACAAAACGATCTCAACTCCAATATCATGTAATGTTTACAAAGAAAGAGCAAGCCCAGGTTATTGGAACTATGCCTAAAAATCCAATATGAGATATGAATGTGTCAAAATCAAAGTACATTTAAAACAAATAAAGAAGATATTGTGATTTAATAGGGTCCACCATAAGATTTCAAACAATCTTTGTGCTATTCACTAGTTGAGTGGACTGGTAAAGAATAATACCAGGCTTAACTCAACTAATGCAGCACAGGTGATGAAGTCCATGCCGTCAATGGCAAGAGCTCCTAACAAACCAGGAGTGTAGAGCTCCAGCCTTGGCCCAGGAACCCATCACACCACAAATGCTGTCTTGGTGGAGAATGTTAGATGCCTTCACCCAAGGTCAGCAACAAGGCCAGGGTGAGCTCTGCCACCACAGTGAGCCTTCCTCATGTGCAGGGACCATCACAGGAATACGGAGGGTAGATGTAACACTGGCATTCTTTGCAAACAAGTGTGATGACCTGTTCTAGAAAAGTCAAGAAAATCAAAACCTACTAGGACAAACAGACTAGTTTAGCAGAACCCATGAGGTGTCCAGAAGTTAACCCAAGTGAGGGTGCACAGAACACTGCGGCAAAAGCTAAATGCTCTAAGAAGGACTTGGAGGACAAGAGTGGAGTGAGATGTTCACAGCCTGTCTTGGGAGAGTTGATAACATAAATGTGTTGGTTTTCCTTACTCAATTCACAAACACATTGGGACCGCAATCAAAATTCCAGGTGGATTTTGAAGAACTCAGTAAACCTTTAGAAGTTTACTTCTGAACATGAAAATCCAGAGGTTTCTGGAGATTTGAGATTAGTTTTGTCAGCATTAGAGAAGACTGAAGCCAGAAGGCCCAAAGGTCTAGAGTCAAGGTTACCAAACAGTGTGCTGTCTGCATCGAATCAGATGGAGACCTAAGTGCAAAAGGTGAAAACCATGGAATTGATTTTAAAAAAGCTTAAATGCATTTATTACCTGGGATGTAAAAAGGAATTTATAAATAACACAAAAAAAGCAAAAATGATAGCAAAAGTTTGGTAAGTTGAGTTATACCAAATTAAAAGATTTCAAAAAAGCAACAACTCAGGAGGCAGCCTCAGCAGGTTCAAGGACAGCCTCAGCAACTTGGCAAGTTCCTGTGCCAATCATAAATAAATAAATAAGGCTGGGGATGTGACTCAAAGGCAAAGCACTAAGTTTGATCCCCAGTACCACCAAAGAAAAAGAAAAGATTTTAAAGAAGGATTCCATGGGGAAAATAATGAGAAATGAGAAAAAGGAGAAGATATTTGGGGAGTCTGAAACCAAGAAGGCGTCAATATCTTGAGCACACATGGAAGTCTAAATAAGCCCCCATTCTGGGGATGGGGACAGAATAGTCCCACAGGTGCCATGTCCTGATCCTTGCACAGCAGGGATAACATGCAGAGGGCTTGGGCTGTGAGCCAGGTTGACCTTTATGTGAGATGATCCTGCTTAGGTCCTTCACATGTGGAAGAGTGGGCAGAAGGTCAGAGTCACATCTAAAGGTGGCAAGTTGCTGGCTTTGAAGGTGGAAAAGGGGTGGCCTCTAGGTGCTGCAGGCTCTCCTAGGGCCTTCAGGAGGAACACAGTCCTGCAGACCCTGGAGTCTAGCCCAGCGAGGTCTACGTCAGACATCTGACTTCTAGAACTGTGAGAGCATCCATTTGTATTGTGTTAAGCCATTAAATTTGTGCTTTATAACATCAGCAACAGGAAACTAACATGCACTATAGCTTCTGAAGAAAAATAGGAATGTATCTGAAAGATAATCTACAGAAGAGAAAATGCAAAAGGCTGATGTGCTGCTCGTCAGAGGCATGAAAACTAGAAGGACTTTACACCACTTGGTGCAGCTTAGATCTGCGAAAACCGGAGGCTCCCAGACGACCCACCAGAGGGCGCACAGGCAGGGCTGGAGAGTCACCGAGATTGTGGCCTGTGGGTCAGGCATCTCTGAGGGGTGAGATCCCCACACACAGCACAGCACACGCCGGTTGGGTCCTGTGGGTGTGGGTGCAGCAGGGATCTCAGTGTTCCTTCCTGGAAGAGAGTAGACATAAAACATGGTGGAAGCAGGCCACAGAGCAGCTGGGCACCATGTACTAGGTGTGCAGTGGGGAGCAGGTGTGGGCCTCGCAGCCCCGGGCAGACTGAACCTCCAGAAGGACTGGCAAGGTCAAGCCCTTGTTTTTATCAGCAAAGGCATGAATAGATAGCCAAGAACATGTAACACAAGCCGCATCCAACCCTGGAGGGGGGTTCCTGAGGCGGTGCTCTGTGCGCCTGACTCTAGAATGGGACTGTGACAAGTAGCCTAAGGGCAGCCTTGCCTGGAGCTGCCATGCTGAGGGGCTGCGTGTTCAGCACAGTCAGCACAGCACATCAGCCCCGTCTGTGGAAGGGGAGAAGAAGGAGTCTCAAGAAAGGAACAATGAACGAAAAGCAAAGGAAATGGTTTTATTTCCTCAAGTTGAAGCACTGAAGGAGCTCAAGCCGGCCTGCTTCACAGCTCGGTGAATCCAGCCCCAGAGAGGCCAGGTAGTGGGCTCAGTGTGGGGGCTAGACCATGGATTGAAAGCTCAGACCAGCACGTCCTACCCTGCCTGTGCAGGTGTCCATGCCACTATCCTTTGTTAAAATGTATTTTCATTTTAATTACAGTAAAATGTATGTGACTTAGAATTTTGTGTCTTAACCACTTCTCTGTGCACAGTCCAGGGCATTAGGAACTTTCACTGTTGGTTGCCACCTCCAGAACTCTTCATCAGGCACAACTGGAACTCTCACCATGAATGACTCCCTGCTCCCCTGCCCTAGTCCCTGCCACCCACCTTTCTTCTTTCTGTCTCTCATTTGATCTCATGTAAGTGGGATCGTTCATTAATTTTCTTCTTTTTTTTTTTTTTTTTTTTTAAGAGAGAGTGAGAGAGAGAGGGGGAGAGAGAGAGAAAGAATTTTTTAATATTTATTTTTTAGTTTTCGGCAGACACAACATCTTTGTTTGTATGTGGTGCTGAGGATCGAACCCTGGCCGCACACACGCCAGGCGAGCGCGCTACCACTTGAGCCACATCCCCAGCCCCATTCGTTAATTTTCTTCCTGTGACTGGCTTATTTCACTTTGCACGATGCCGTCAAGGTTTATCCGTCCTGCAGCATGTGTCTAGGTCTCACTCTGTTTATCCACTCACCCATCCACAGACACTCAGGCTCCCCCCACCTCTCAGCTGGTGTGAGTAATGCTGCTGTGAACATAGATGTACAATATGTCTTCAAGACCTTGCTCTCAACTCTTGTGGTATATATCCAGAAGTATCATTGCTGGGTCATATGGTAATTCTATTTTTAATTTTTTGAAGAGTCACTGAACAATTTTGCCTTCCTGTCAACAGTTCACCAACTTCTTTTTTCTTTTTTTTTTAAATCATAGCTACCCTAATGGGCATGGGTTGGTATCACATTGTGGTTTTGATTCACATTTCCCTCATGATTGGTAACTATTTTATGTGACTAAAATGAAATACCTGAGTTTGGGTACTTTATTTATTTTTTAAAGATTCTTATTTAGAACACAGCCCTGAAAGCTCACGGGCATGGCACCACACCTGCTCCGTCGTGGTAAGGCCTCATGGTGGGTGGCATCGTGCTGGCGGAGCGTGTACAACAGGGAGGGACCTTGTGGAGAGGCAAGAAACCAGAAACTGACCAGGACTGGCTGGGGTTCCATAGGAACCGGTTCCTAATCCCTCCTGAGGGCACACCCCCAGTGACCTCAGGACTCCCGCAGACCCCACCTGTTAAGGCCCACCACCTGTTAGCAGCGTCACACTGAGGACCAAGCCCCAGCGTGTGAGCCCTTGGGAGCAGACCTCATCCATCCACAGCCGTGATGTGATCACCTTTTCATGGCTTGCTGGCCATTGGTACATCTTTTTTGGAGAAATGTGTGTGCAAATCCTATGCCCATTTTTCAGTTGAGTTGCTTGGATTTTGTTGTGTTGTAAGAGTTCTTTATATACTCTATATTAACCCCTTACCGATTGTATGGTTCAAAAGATATTTCTCCCAGTCCATGTTGCCCTCTCACTCTGTTAATCATGTCTCTTGCTGTACAGAAATTTTAAATTTTGCTTATAGTTTAGTTTCACTTTTTGCTTATGCTTTTGATGTCATCACCAAGAAATTATTATGAAATCTAATATCATGAAGGTTTTGTACTATTTTCTTCTAAGAGCTTTGTGGTCCCAGCTCTTATGTTTCAGTCTGATTTGGGGTTTATATTGGTATGTGGCTTTTGTTTGCACGTAGATACCTGATTTTTCCAGCCCCATTTGTTGAAAAAGACTGTCCTCTCCCCATCAAATGTTCTTGGCACTCCTGTCCAAAGTATTTGGCCACACATGTAAAGGTAGGTTTCTGGGCTTTTTATTTTATTCCATTCATTTGTCTGTCTGTATGCAAGCGCCACACTATTGTGGTGATCATAGCTTTGTGATAGATTTTGAAGTCAGGAACTGTGAGTCCTCCAGTTTTGTTCTTTTCAAGATTGTTTTGGCTATTTTTGTATCCCTTGCGACTCCATAGGAAGTTAAGGCATGCAGAAATGCTGCTGCTGCTCTTCTGACAGGCATTCAGTCTGTAGGTTGCTTGGGTAGAACTGGCATCTTAACAGCACTGTCTTTCAGTTCATGAACACAGATATCTTTCAGGCGTGTGTGTGTGTGTGTGTGTGTGTGTGTGTGTGTTTTCCTTCTGTCAGTTTTCAGGGTCTAAGTCATTCACCTCTTTGGTTAAGCCTGTACTAAAGAACTTTATTCTTTTGATGCTCTAGTAAGAATCGCTTATCTAATTTCATTTGGATTGTTCATTGTGAGACAAGTCCTTTCTGATGAGGTGAACAGTAGAAAGGACATTTGGACTCTGTGCTGGCTAGTGGGGTGGAGAAAGCTCTCTTCCTTGCAGGCAGCCCTGACACAGGGCTCTGGGCAGCAGATGACAGCTGGCAGGTTGGGGAGGTGAGCAGGACAGTGGTTAGCCGCTCTCCTCCATCAGCATCTGCTGCCCTGGCTTCACTGTAGCCCAGTCCTGCAGGTTGGCCCAAGCCTGACAGGGAGCTTCTAGAGAAGGTGTAGGAAGGGCCCAAGGAGCCGTATGCTTAGAGAAGATGGGAGCAGGCCCAGAGTTCTGCTCTTTTCTCTGTTCTACACCCAACTCCAGGCCACCCCATGGTGGCAGCAGTGGAGCGACAGGGCCATGGAGTCAGGGTGGCAGCCATGGTCCCTCCCAAGAGGTGGGATGAGTCTCTGTTGGTTTTTTCCTCCCTCTGCCTTTCCTTTGCCTGACCCTAGACGTGGGCACACATGGGGAGTAAAAGGTGAGCAGGATAGAGAAACCTAGAGCATTCTGACTCCAAGTGGGAGAAAAAGAGTCTGGGGGCTGAGAAGAGCAGGGGCAGGGAAGAGTGACCTGCTCAAGCGAGCCCAAGAGAAGTCACAGTGGTCTCCTGGGCTCATCCCAGCTTTACTTACACAAATCTGACGCTCAACAGCCTATCATAGACCGAGAACCATGATGGGGGTAGAGCAGCCCAGGGCCTCACTTTTTTGTAGACCCTAACCCAGGGCTGTGCGGAGTGTGGATGCCACCGGGTCCTTGCCAGGACGCCATGCAGAGTGGTGCACACACAGGAGATCCAAGTAGGACTGGAAGGGCTCTGATACAGCCGACCACATACAGTTAGAGCTGACATATAAATGCTTTCCCTGGGCTTCAAGGGAAGTCAGAGCCTCTGACTTATCCAGCAGAATCAGATCTTGCACTGCTCAGGTCAGGGGCCACATACCTGTTCACCCTCTGCATGGTGGCAAGTGCTGGGTAGGCACTGGGTGCAGCTGCAGAAGTAATGGGTGGAATCCAGGGGAACAGAAAGCCCACAGCAGAGGAGGAAGGGCCACCACTGAACCAACATGTCAATGACCAAGAAGCCATGGCGTACCATCCACTCTGGGGTCCACATTTGGAGCAGATCCTGGGGGGGGGGGCGGATAATGCTGCCCTGGGGTCTTGCTGTCTACTTTTATGGGGGTATTGCATAGAGAGACTCCCTGAGGGAGTCAGCTTGAGAGACAGTGCCTAAGGGCTCACAGCACTCCCCATAGCACTGCTCTGGTTACCCCGTCCCCAAGACACCCTCCTCTGCTCCTCAGCCCTGCCCTCACCCTCACGACGGCCTTGCCAGCCCTTCCCCAGGGACCCTCACAGACCTCTCCCTCATGCCCTCAGTATCGCCCCTGGTGACCCAGCAGATGTGCCCAGAAAGTCTCCCAAGGTTGGTAGGCGTGTTGGGACCAGCAGAGCATTGCAGTGGAACTCTGTGTGCTGTGGCACACTGTGGGTGTACTCAAGGAGGCTGAGCAAGGGGAAGTTTCTATTGGAAAAAAGGGGACAAATTTACCTAAGATCTTGCATAGGAGACTGTTGGTCTTGAAGACCCAAGGCAGGAGTTGGCATCGGTTCTTTGGTCGGGGTGCTGCTGCTGAGTTCTGTCCAGAGCATCCTACCCAAGTTGTCACAGTCTTAGAAAACCTTAAAGATAAACTGTTTCAGAAATCTGTGCACACGTAGCATGCAAAGAATGGGGCATGTGTTGAAGGAGAAGGGGTTTTAGGAAGTCCTTTAGTAGTGATCTCAGGCAGAAGGCAGGAGTCTTCCACCTTCATAACCTTCCAGCTCCAAGGTAAGGCGAGACAGGAATGGTTCCATCTTAGGGTCAGCAGTTCTCCCCTTCTAAAGTGCCTTTCTTGGTGAGGTTTTCCCCTAAGGAGCATGTGCAAGATCCAAACTAGCCCCTTTGCCCATGCCAGTCACCCTCTGTTCATCTCTTAGCATGCATTGCGGTCCAAGAGAAGGCAGGTACCAGGCAGACAAGAAGTGCCTGGTGCTGTACCACAGTGCCTGGGCCTGGGGCAGTGCCTGGCATCAGCAGGTGCTTAGCAGGTGGCAGAGAGCGGAGCAAGCCTTGCTGGACCAGGTAGAACTGGCCAGCAGAGCCCAGGCCATGGGGGCCAGGCAGGAGAGGACTGGTGGAGGTGAGTGAGGCATGCTATGTGGGGTGCCCAGCATGACTGTGCATCAGGAGAGTGCAAGTGCATCCCAGCTACTGGGTCTGGGTCCTGATCAGTGACCTCGCTCTTCCCAACAAGAAGGGATATCTGCTCCCTGCCTCTGCTCAGTGGACGCTGGTCCCGACAGGCAGCATCTCACACACTGGGGAAACCCCGCAGATAGCAGCCATCAGGTGACTGCTGAGCTCCCAATGAGCCTGGTCCCTGTGTCATCACTACATATTGCCCAGAGCACCCCTCTGGGCCTCCCTGGGCTCTGTGCAAGATCCTGTGGCCTTTCCAGGGGGGCGTGGGTCTGCCACGCGACCAGCGCATGAGCAGCGCACGAGCCTCATAAAAGAAAGCTCGATGCATAAAAATTGCTAGTGAGTTTTAGAATTAAAGAGACAGACTCTCATTCACCTTTATTTCCCAGCTCCGAGGTGGCTCCTCCTAGCTCCCGCCTCCAGCCACCTAATGCGGTGGCGAGGTTTACAGAAGAGGCGAGAGAGAGAGAGAGAGAGAGAGAGAGAGCGCACACCAGGGAGTGAGCTTTTATTGGGGAACAAAAAATTCCAGGGAAAATCCCATCCAGTGAAGGTTAAAGGGGGCAGCATCCCAAGGTCAGGGCCAATGATTGGGTCTTCGGGTCAGTGGCCAGGCACGCCTCTGCACAGACAAGCCCTCATACCTGGGACAGGGTGGGGAAGGCTCTGACACGGCTGTGTCTAAGCGCCTCTCACCCAGCCAGGGAGGTAACTCAAATCATGAGCGAGGATGGCCTCCCACAAGTGGGCACTCAGGGGTACGCACTTGGAGACCTGCAGACAGGAATGCAGGAATGGCTATCCTCCACCTTGCTCCTTGGACACAGGGTCCCAGACTCCAGGCCATTGGGCAAGGGCTGATGACTAGGGCCTCTCACCAGAGAGGCCTGGTAGCCACCAGCTGGTCCATAGCCAGAGGCTTCTCTAAGGTGGTGGAGGGGTGGCCCCTTTCCTTAGCACATGAATGCCTGAAAAAGGAGCTGCTCCCACAGAGTACAGAGAGGGAGCCCTGGCAGTCACTAACCCAGTGCAGTCTATGTACTGGATGGGGTTATAGAGGCTGGGGGGCCCAGGAATGCCCACCCCAGCCTCTTGTGACACATGACCCCAAAAAAGACATAGGAGTCATTTGTATGGGGGCCAGAAAGAGCTCTCTCTCCATGGAGGCCCAGTCTGACCTGCTGGCTGCTGGTGCAGAGGCAAAGGCAGCTGCAACCCACGGCCAGAGCAAGTGTCACCCACTTCCAGCTCAGCGGCAGGCCTGCCCAAGCCTTCTCATTGCCACTGCGTCCACCACAGCAGTCTGTCATAGGTCCTGTGTATTCCAGTGGTTTCAGAGAAAAAAGCTCATCAAACACTTCCTAAATTTGAAATTTAAAACATTTCTGATTTGCGCAGTGACACCGTTAGGTTCTTGATTTCATTATAAACTGTTCCATTCACTCTGTGCTTTCAATAAGCTGCACATTGGCAAGGGCGGAGTAGGCTAATATGAGAATTATGCAACCTGATTTGTAAAACATATTTAGAGCATAATTATGCAACTAAATATGAGTTTCACCTGCAGTTCATGGTTGCTCTTCACGTGGCGCCTTATCTCTGACCTTCTAAAATAGGTCCAAAGTAAAAAGGACCAGGCTGCTGGCAGAGTGGCTGGCTGCAGGCCTGGGCAGGAAGCTGGGGTGAGCCAGGAGCACCTGTGATAAGGAGACAAGAGGGGGAAACAAAGAAAATGAAAATCCAACAAGGAAGGGCATGTCGTAGAGAGCAGGAGCCAACCCGAAGAGCGTGCAGTGGCGAACAGAATAGGTAACAGGATTGGCGGACAGCCCGCAACGTACAGCAAATACTGATGACGGATAAATGGGGGAGAAGGGACACCCCCTGAAGAACTTCACACAGCTGTTCTTCCTGCAGGAGCAGAGCACAGCCTTCCACTGAGTATAAAGCCAGTGACACTCATCCAAGGGACGGAAAGGGAACCGGCTCAACCAGGGAGTGGAAAGGTGTGGCACGGCCAGAGGTGGGCCAGCACCCCAGTGGTGGCAATGTGGTGCAGTGACACAGATCCCTGCCCTGGGACTCTGCCCTCAGCCTGTCTCTGCCCTCCAAGTGACTCCTGGAACTGTGGTGCCCCTGTGGCATCACCCTCCTGGCCAGGAGATACCAACAGAAGACTTGCCATGCAGCTTCCACGCCAAAATGCAGGCAGTGGCCCCTCAGGACAGGGCGAGCACCAGCTGCTTCTCTCTCTCACC